GAATGCCTCCACTCACCTGGTTCCTCCATGCCGTCTCCAGGTCAAGGACACCTGGCACACTCATGGGGCGCTGATGGCCCCCACTGCCTGGGCCCACAGACTTCTGCTCTGCCATTTATTGAAGATTCACTGAGACTCCAGTCCCAGATTCAATACTACCTAACCTTGCTTTGGGGGAAGAAGCCTCACATCATTTTTCTTTGTCTAAGAACTGTTAGAGCCCAACATCCAGCTGCCTATGGGTTCCTCTGTAGTTTGGCTCAAGAAAGATGGATAACTCAGACCCTGTAGGAAGGAGAAGAAAAATGGATTCAGGCTGCATTTTTCTCAGAATACCCTGGGCTTCCTTTGGTTTTTCTTTAATTCGAGGTGATTCCCTCCTTACATGGTGACCCACAATTCTGATTTCCTATTTCCCTTTCTGAAGAGGTGACTGAATTTATTCTGGGTCCACATAGAAAAGACAGATCCCTTCAATACATCTCCACAGAATAACACTTTTAAAGATGTTGTTTTCTTGTTTCCTAATTCTACTAAATAGTTGAAGTTATCAAAAAGTAACTTTAGAGTAGAAATGGAAATAAGATTCTTCTTAGTGAGTGAGCTAGTTTTTCCAGCAATAAATGCTAGATGAAATATAAAACAAAAATTTCTCTTTACATTGTAATTTTTAACATGAAGACATTTGGAAAAATTCTGGAAGAACATTCGAAACACACGGTTTTTGGGTTGTAGGAATATAAATATCCTCACGCTAGCAGAACTAGTTAGGATGTTTCGGGATCCATTAACGTCCACTCTTGTCTCAAATTGGCTTAAAGAATAAGGCAAAAGGATTACTCAGTATAAAACATCCCCAAACAGGGAAAACGAAGAGTTGATTAATTCAGCAGCGCAATGGTGCAGTTAGAGACCCAGGTTTTCTTCCTACCCTCCACCTGTCGGCCTAGACAGCACAGCAGTTGGTGGATGGCCAGCACAGTTCTGTGTGGTCATATGTGAACGTGTGGCAGTGCAGGAAGGATGTCTTTTTCTTGGGTTTCTCTTTAAAGATGATGAACTCTTTCTCATGAGCCCCCAAAGAGACCACCCCTCCCATCTGATTGTTAGAAACCTCTCTTATCCGTCCACTCTTAGCAATCAACACTGATGCGGATGGAATCACCAGGACTGCGTTGCAGTGATTAGAATTGAAGCTTGCAGTGGGTCAGCATCCCACCAAAATGTCTATCTAAACAAAATCAGTTTCTAGATTTGGGGCAGGGAAGAGTCTGTTAAGATGGTAGAGCAAAATTGGGCATACAGATGCGTCTGACTTCAGAGGCCATACATCTCACCCCCATCATTTTACTTCTCACATTTAATAAGCAAAATTTCAAATAAAGTATTAAAAACGTTTGCAAACTCTGCTTTATTCGTTTTTAAAGACAGAGAGAATTTCTTAAGTAATGTTTCCTCCATGGATAGAATTAATCCTTTCTCCCAACATTTTTGAGATGGTCAAATCTGACCAGGTATTATTTGAGTGCCCCTCTGTGTCAATGTGTGTTGTCTGTGTCATGCAGGTAAAGTAGAAAAATTAGTTGATGTATATGAAATAGACAGATGATCTGACACATATTCATCTTAATACTGATGAAAATATTCTCGTATTATAAAGGTAAAGAATAACAAACTAAATTGCACTTTAATTGAAAATAGTATTAAACAGAAATTTCTTAAAAACACACACTTAAATAAACACTCAAGAGAATTAAATCTGAAGGCAGTTACACTACAAATTGAGGACAATTCACAAATGAAACTGAATTCTTAGCGGATTTTTTTTTCCAAAACTGACAACAATTAAGCTCCAGTAAATACATACACACTCCTCATTTGAATATAACTATTAAGAAATAAAAATCAACATCGCAGGGACTGACATTATTTTTTGTATAAGAAATGACCAGTGTTGTCTATGTTTAAAATCACACCATTACTTCCTGGTTCAGTTTCACAGAGCAAATAGCACTTGGCCTTCCAACTCAGGTTTCACTATAATTATAATAGCAACTGACTGCATGTATATATTTCTACAAGAAAACAACATGATTTTTTCTGAAATTAATAATTATTTGCATCAAGCCATTTTCCATATTCTGAGCACCTGAGGAAGCCAGTTTTACCTAGGTCTATTTTTAGGTACATATGCATTTCTAGAAGAGCTGTTGTCTCCATGCTTGAGTTGTCCAAATCCTTATGAAAGACACTTTTTTCCTCAAAGAAATGGGTAAAGGATAGATTTCTCAAACCAGCCAGTTCTTTATAGGATTGTTAAGCCAGAAGTTTAAAATTAAGCTTTCTGAATCTTTTTGAGGTTGTCACTATAAGAAGCAAGCAGTCAGAGTAGATGTTTGTTTTATGTTGTGTTTCATCCATCAGACAAACTCCTGACGTCAGTTCTTTTCAAATATACTCTCCCATGTTCCTATCTACTCTCTCCTGAATAGATGGGACAGGGAACTTGGGACTCACTTTGTTTATTCAGTTTGTTTCAACTCTGTTGCAGGAGAATGTTTTACACTCCAGTTGAGAAAAAGAAGTGGCTGAAAAGGAGCTGAACCATGGAAGAGAACTGTGGCTCAGGTCCAGCCCTAAATAAACGTGAATGTGGTGAGCTAGTCAGTGACTATGGACGTGCTTGCTATCTGTTGAACAGAATTTCAGTTAAATTATTGTCACACCCTTTCCTTTGCAGGAAACAGATCCTTGATTGATGGAGTAATAACTTCCTTTTGTTCCTCTAATAAGAAATTCGAGAGCACATAAATGCCACTTCGTTTTCTACCTGTCTTCTGAGAAACCGCATCATGTGATGGCTATGGAGGACATCACCTGGCCATGTCCAGTCTGGGCCAGCTGCCCTGCTGCCTTTGGTCGAGGGAGAACTAGCCCTCCTCTGCTGTGGCTGCCTGCTGGTGGTCCAAGACCAGCTCCTGGTTCCAAACTGGCCGCAGGCAGACTGCTCAGTGGCTCTCCCAGGAGAGCAGCTGAAGGCAAAGGTAATTCCCTAAAGCAAGTTATTCCCTCTCTCTTGAGAACTTTTACAGCAGAACACGGAGCGGAGTGGCCTGCCAGAAGGGGAAGAATGTCCACTCACAGAAAGAAGCGGTGGCTGCAGGTGTCCAGGGTGGAAAAGAGAGTAATTGGTTTCTAGCACTGCCTTGAATTCTTTTATTTCTCCATGTATTTAGGTACTAGGAATGCACACACTTATAATCTGAGAGAGTTTCAATTACTTTCAGTCAGAAAGTAATCCCCAAACTAATCCTTTTGTAAAAAATTGAAATGTTACCTAGTATGTTTTACTGTGATGATCTGGAAACAAGGACTGTCACAAAGGAATTGTATTACGGTAAAGAGTCTGCACGCTTACTTATAGACGACAGCTTCCACCTGAGAACAGCTAACTGGGGTGACCACGGGAATCACTAAAACCTTTTTTTAAACAGAAAAAAATTTTAAAGTCATTTTGAAAGGTCTTGGAACTTGCAGATGCAAAGGAAAAAACAACAATCCCAAGAGGTAAAAATGAATAAGGCGGATGACATCGCACTTAGTGAGACAAGGACGAAGCAGGCGGTCCTGGGAGGGAGCTCAGAGACACCTGGTCAAGGTGACTGTGTGCTCTTCTCCAGCAGGTGTGTGCAGCTGTGACCAGGGGACAGGTACAAAGACGTCTATTGCAGCACTGTTTGTAAGAATGAAAAAGATTCCATGGACTGAATAAATGAAACATTCTGTTCATAAAATGAATGAATGAAATAGATTCCACATGATGAATGAATGGAATGAATGGAATGAATGAAAAATGGGAACATCTTAAAGGTAGCTTGTTCTACATTCCTGTAAGTCTCCTTACAGCTCTCGGGGACAGTTATCACCCCATCCAACAGATGAGGACACAGAATCACAGGCGGGATTGGTGTCCTTACAGCCACGCCACGTCCACCAATAGAGATTTTTTTAAAAATTAATTTATTTTTGGCTGTGTTGTGTCTTAGTTGCAGTGTGCGGGCTTCTCACTGCAGTGGCTTCTCTTGTTGCAGAGCACGGGCTCTAGGCGCGCGGACTTCATTAGTTGCGGCTCATGGGCTTAGCTGCTCTGCGGCATGTGGGATCTTCCTGGACCAGGGCTCGAACCCGTGTCCCCTGCATTGGCAGGCGGATTCTCAACCACTGAGCCACCAAGGAAGCCCCCAACAATAGAGATTTGAAACTAAATTCTGTCTGGGTTGAGTCGGGCCGTCTTGTATACAGGTTAGATTGGAGCAGAGTCGGCCTAATGTGGACGAGCAGATAAGCTGCTTTAGGGAAAGAGCAGTTAATGACGGGACCCAGGCATCTGGAGCTGAGCTAAGACCTATTCTCCCCCAAATGGTGTCAGACGGAGCAGGGACTTGCAGCTCCAGAGGTGGGGACAGCAGAGGTGGGACAGCTCCTGGGGACTGGCCATCCTGTGGGTGGCTGCCTCTCTAGCAGCGAGTCCCAGGAGGAAGAGGATTACTTAGAGTCCCTTTCCAAATGCATACACCTGCATATAGAGAATCCCCTGCATACCTAATCTAAGTAGGTCCCCCAAATTTAGGCACTTTCTTCTTATTCCATTACTAAGGTGATAGTAGGGACAGTACTCCCCAGCGGACTTTTATGCCTTGTCTAAGGACATTTCATTGTATTTCCCACTTAGAGACTGTTACTAAATCACTCTCCAGCTGACTACAGTTCAATGCTGAAGTACTTAGCTTATCTGACCTTGGCATTCATTAATTTTATCACACCAGCAGGAACTTATTAATATTCTTTTCCCCCTTCCCTACAAAGCCACGTGGCCCCAAGTGGACCCAGTTCTCTCCTAATGCCTGAGGGGGAGTTCCTTAAACACCTTCCTATCTTAAAAGTTGTCTGTAGTGTGCTGGTCCAAACCCCCAACTCCTTGCCGTCAGTAGATTTAAGGGGCCCTTTTGTGCATGAGTGCTCTGAGATGCCATTAAAATTCTTACAAAAACTGAAAGTGAAATGAGGAAGACCGATTGAGCAATCACATAGAAGGGCGAATGCCAGGAAGACCTATCATACAGTAGGGGCAGAGATGCGGCCGGGCAGAGAGAAGAAAATTCAGGAGAGCTCTCCGGAGGGCGAGCGCCGGGCTGGGCCATGTAGTCAATGTAGGACATCAACAAACACAGATAACAGGAAATGATCCATTCTCTGTGGTCACTTATTCAAAGGGCCCGAACCTTCAAAGTTCAAGGAGGGAAATGGATGACTCCACAGGGGAGCAGTCACGCCTTTCTCGCCTTAAGACCAGAGACGAAATGAAACTGAAGGAGACAGTCTCCATCCTCCCCCAGAAGGAAAGCCCCTCTGTCCGCTTCTCCAAAGATGGAAAGCTGCTGGCCGTGACCCTGCTGCTGGCCCTGCTGTCCTGCTGCCTCACGGTGCTGTCCTTCTGCCGCCTGGCTTCCCTGCAAGCAGAGCTGGGAAGGCTCCGGGCGGAGCTGCGGGAGCTGCCCGGCGCCCCCCAGGCGGGAGCCGCAGCCCCCAGGGCCGCCCTGCGGGAGGCTGCAGCCACCACCTCCGCCCTGAAAGTGAGTCTGCGGCAGCCCCAGCCCCATGCTCCCGCACCCAGACGCCCTGGCAATAACGGGGGCCTTTTCTCTTGGCAGGGGAGCTTTGCACTACCAGCTCCAGGAGAAAGCAACTCCAGCCAAAGCAGCAGGAGTAAGCGTGGCCTGCAGGATGCAGAAGAAACAGGTATGTTTGGGGCACAGAAGCGGCTAGGAGTCAGGGATCCCAGTTCACAGGTGAGGAGCAGAGGGGAGCCAGACAGGACGTGGAAACTTGGACACTTGCCAACTTGCCGTCCCAGCCGGGTGTGGCTCCAGGGAAAGCCAAGTCCTGGCCGATGTAATAGGCCGACAGCACGTTTTGTCCTACGGTGAGCAGGTTTTGTGGGGAGAGGTATTTATCTGTGCGGCACTTTAAAAAAGGGGAAAGGGGCCCACATTTCCCCTCCAATAGATAGTTCACTCCTACATCAGGAGCATCGTCTGGCAGTGCAGGAACAAAGCACCACGTGCCAGTGTAGAATGAGCTTTTGTCAGCGAAGGGCAGCCAGACAGCATCTCCTGGGGGGCGTAGCCGCAGTGAAACCACGTGTAGATCGCCCCGGAGGCAGGTGCATGTTTCTGCTTTATTTGGTGTCTTGCTTTTTTTAAAAAAGCTTATTGTACACACACACAGAGATTTTAATGCTTTTCTTTAATGTGTGCTTTTTCCTGGAGCTCCACACACGTTTATAGCCTCCTTGTAATAGTTCCTTAGCGATCGCTACCTTTCTTCCTGCTGCACATGTCCCACAGAACTGTGTGCGTCCCTGACACCTCAGGTTTGGTGGGGCCTCCCAAGACGTGATTCAGCTCTAGTTCCTTCATCTCAAGGCTGAGAAAGAGCATTTGAATGGCACTTACTAATATTGCAATTTAACAAATCCTTGGTGCTGTTTCCCTTTTATATTGAAGGAACCTTTTCTTGAGCCCCTAGAATGTGCCAGGCAGGCTTGTACTAGGAGAGGTATCGTCACACCTCCTGTTTCCTTTCATCTTCACGGTGAGTGTGAGTCAGACCCAACAGGTGTAATTATTTACATGTATTTGTACTTCTGAACAGAAGTGCATGAGAGACAGAATAGGCGTCCTATCACACCACACACACACACACACACACACACAGGATGCTCCTTCTGTAAACTTATTTTTCACTAAATGCCTTATTCGTGGAAAAAATTCTTCCTCGTTTTATACAACTGTAAATTTTGTATCTGGTTATCATATCTTTGTGCCAATTATCAGAAACAATTGGGTTTAAAAATTTTAAAACTGGAAAACACTCATATTTTTACTATGCTTTAACACATCGATTATTTTCATATTTTGCGTTTTATCATCTATATTTTTTACATAATTGAAAAAATTCAGTATATATACTGTAAATGTTTTATATATATATATATATATAGTATATATATATATATATAGTATATATACAATAAATGTTTTCCTTGTTTCTAAGTAATTCTCACACATCCATATTTATTTGTTATCATACAATTATTTATCATGATCATTTCCAATTTTTTTGATAGAATGGAACATGCCAAAATTTTTGTGCAGATCTCTTTGTTTCTGAGGAATTTTATGCATATATTCAATATAAATTCCATACATGGAATGTCTGAGCCAAAGAGGATGAACATCTTTAGCACCCTTGCTACCTGTTGCCATACTGTTTTCAAAATGAATTACAAATGTATGTAATCAGAAATGCAGTGTACAAGTTCTCCACATTCTTACAGCATTTTATCTTTAAAAATATATTTTGGCTAGTTTGGTAGTTGTAAAAGAATGCCTCAAATTTAATTTTTTGCTTGCTTACTAACTTATTTCTGCATATTTTGATAACTTCCAATTTTATCTTCTAATTTTTATTTATAACTTCCCTCACTTGTCCTATTTTTAAAATAATTTTGAATAAACTCTATATTAGGCATATTGTTTATCAAAATTTTGATGTAAATATTTTCACAATATTTTGCAGGTTTTTAAACTTGTACAGAGATTTTGCATCTGTATATTTAATGTGATACACTTTTTAAATTTTCTGTAGTACATCAAAGCTAAAAATATATTTGTTCATAATCTCTTAAGTAGTTTATTCTTTTCTCTGCCATTTTGACTTTTTTTGTAATTTAGTGTTGTAGTTTGGTATTTAATCCATTAGTCCTGGAGTTTATTTTGGTAGGTCATGTCATACTAACTTCCTTTCTTTGGAACTTCCTTCCTTCCTTCCTTAACTTCCCCTTTCTTCTTTTACTTTTTCCTTCCAAACTATTGCTAAATATCTCGGCCAAGTTCATTAGATGGTTCTTTTTAACTCATTTGCATTGGAATGCTTACTATATTATATTAAGTTCCTCATTTATAGTTGAATCTATTTTGAGACTTTTTTTTTCATTGATTTGTTTCCTATTTGTATTAAATATTTTAAGTAATTTTATAATAAAATGAGCTTCAATGCCTAGTAGGGTGAGGATGCCTCAATCTTCTTCAACCTTGTCTGCTAGTATTCCCCTGCCTCTAAATATTAATATTAAAACTAAACCCTAACTTTTCCATTCCAAAGAGGATATAGACTCATTACATCAGATTTAAGAAGGAAAGAATTGAGTAAGAAATCAGTAACTCCCTGAGTCCCACTTGACCAAAATATGTTCTATTAATATTTTAAAATTTCCTCCCGTGTGAATATTTTTTCATATTTGTGTTACTATGGCATCCAAAAATTGTATACTGACAAAAATTTTCCCCCCCAAATTTGCAATTTTTAGAAAGTCTGGAGAATAGCAGAAAGTTCTAACCAATGAATCAGAATGCACCTGGTTTCCATAGCCCAGATGTAGTCACTATGGTCATTATCATGGTTTGCCTTAGATTTTTATAAACCCTAATGTAGCATATATATGGTGTTTGTATATATGTGTATATATATATATATATATATACATATATATGTATTGTATATATAGTGTATATATATATACTCTATAAATATACTTAGTACATATCTCTAAATCTCTCTCTACATATATTTATTAACATTCATAGATCCCACATGAAGGGTTTGAAGACCAGAACCTTAGTGATAGGTAATATCAGTTATTCCCGGTCAATGAAATTGGCTTGAATGTTGTTTTAGACACTGTCCCTTTGTGCAGGGAAAATTTATTTTGTTTAGCCTTACTCCAAAATTAATGCATATATATATACCAAGAAAGTTGTCTGAGACTCCATGATTTTTGTTTGTTTTCTGTTTGGTAGGGTCCTTTTTTTGGAATTGAGAAAATACTATGCAGTTTGAATCTAACAACTTTCTTTGGTTTTGGTTTCCATTCTAGTTGTGATTTATTTTAAGTAAAACTCAAAAGCCAGAGTTATCCCTTTTACTTTCAAAGCATTAGTTTCTATTTTATTTATTCATTTTCTATAAACGTTTTTGTTGGAATTTTAGAAAAACTGTAACTCTGAAGAAGAAAATGAATGTTCACACTTTGAATTGATATATTCAAGAATTTTTAATATCTCTATTAAATATAGAATTTTAAATTTCACAATAAGACAGTTTTCCTTATATAGGTTTCACTATTCTTTCATAGTTAAATTTAAAAGGGTTTATTGCTATGAGGAGTCTTAGCATTTTCAAATAGCTTGTTAAACTGCTAAAAAACATAGAATTTGCAGTAAATGATTTAGTATTTGATCTCACGCTTATTTTTAAGCCACATCAGTAGTACACTCAGTGGATCTATACTTAACAGATTTATAATATTATTCTAGACTTTGTCTAAAATACTCTGCTTTCTGTATATACTCCTCAACATCAGGTGGTCATTATTTTATAACTGTGTCAAAAAGGTTCACAGCTGAATATTGCTAAGTAACATACCAGAATGTTACTCGTTCTTATTTTTCTATAAATCCAACCCAAATTTCACCAGGCATCTCAATTTTTATTGTGTGGATATTCAGTTTGTAAGTAAATTCCAGTATGCCGTGGGCTAGAAAGTCGAACCTCCCCAGCACACAGCAAGCCTAGTTATTGCATTGGTATTTGATACTCATCACATATTACCTAGGAAGGTTGTTTTCTTTTCATTTGTGTATACCCCGTCTGTTCAACTAAAGAGTAGAGACTTCTGTGGTCTGGTCCTATTTCTCCTTTTGTATATTCATCATGACACTTGCACCCTGTAGGTATTCCATGAATATGTGTTAATCAATTTTGGGCTCAATATCAAATAAGACAGAATGATTTGGCATCATTTTTAGGGGGAAGGGATTTTCCCATATTTCTTCATTTGTCAGGTTTTGATCAAAGGCCATCTTATGAAATTTTTTTAACTTGACCTTTAAAATAACTAATTAACCAAAGAATGAGCATGATCATAAGGCTAAAGTCGCAGGGGCAGTCTGGAAACCCCTTGCCTCGGACTCTCTTGGTGCACCAGGTAGAGGCACTGTTTGGGCTCATTGAAAAGTCACAGAGAAGCTCCCATATTCAGCAACTTCTTTAACTATAGTTTCCTGGGTTTTTAGCTTAATTTTTTAAAATTTTAATTGACATATTGTTTACACACAGAAAAGGGCATGTATCTTCAGGACACAGGTCAGTGAAATTCGCAAGCTGAACAGCAGTAGGTGAAGGGCAGACGTCACCATCAGCCTACACACCCATTTAGTATTTCTTGCAGACCACCCCTGGAGTAAACGTGCTGCTTTTACTTCATTCTAGAATTTGGTGCTGTGGCTCCAGTTTTGTTTTTCTTAATTATGTTGTGTTTCAAATGAAAGTCTCAGTAAGTTTCATGTGTTTCATAAGATAATTTATGGTTATAATATAACAAACAGAAATGTGGGGAAATCCAGGATTTAAATTGCCAAATGGCTTACAATAGCCAAAAATTCACTTTTAAGCCCATAAGTGTATTTGGAGATAGTCCCAATTAGAAAAAAAAAAACAAAAACAAAAACACTAAAGTGACATGGCTTTGAAAATATTACACATGAAAATTTCTTCACAGATGAAATCATGATGACCCATGTTTTGAACCTGCACTTAACTATAATTCTATTCATTTCAAGAATCTAAAGATAAGCATCTTCAGAGTCCATCAAGAAAGTGAATTCTTCCAAATGGGT